CCCCTGTGTGCCTTGTCGACTCAGTNCATAACTTCGTATAGCATACATAAGACTTATCTACTAATTATTTTAAAAGTGGCCAATTTTTTAGATCTAGAAAAAATGTAATTTAAAATATTCTGGATTTTTTTTTAAATAGAATTTTCAACACAGAACAAAATTCAAACTTACGTATGGATAGCTTTTGTAATCATGAATTTTTTTGTAAAGATTATTTAAATTTAGCGGAAAAAAAATATTAATGAAAAATCACATTTCTTGTTATATTTCAAAATTATGTGGGTCTTTTGAAATGAAACTTGGCACAAAATTTTCTTTTATCTGGGTGGACATTTTGCCCACTATGACGATCGATTACGCGCGAGGCCCGAAATCCCCTCTTTAACCCGCTAGACCCTTTTATATTTACAAACTATTCATAAGAATAAATGCATAGAGAATGTATTAATTCAATGTTAGCATAAGTTAAAAATGAAGAAGAAATATTACAGAAATCAAATTGAAAGAACAGAGGTAAATAGAAAGGCAAATTGACTCGTACTTGCCTCCACATTCTTTCAATTTGATTTATAAATCAGCAATCTCGTAGCACCTCTAAACTAAGTCCTTTTTCGGCCGCTAATTTTCTCGCCAATGGACTGGTGTATATTCTTTCCCTGGAAGGCGGCGTGATAGTAGGAATTTTTGCCGTGGCTGGTACAGCTGGTGCTGCTACAGGCGTCGGCGGTGGTGCAGGTGCTGTGGGAGCCGCTGCAGTAGGAGGAGGCGCAGCTATTGTATCGTCTTGAAAGTCTTTAAATGCAGCTATGTTAGATTCGTCTTGTACAATAATGCAAACCAGTTTGCCTATAGGTACATTCTTCGTTCCTGCAGGTACTAAGATCTTGGCCAGATAACCTTCCTCAGGAGTTTCAAATCCCATAGTAGCTTTATCTGTTTCAATCTCTGCCAGCAAGTCACCTTCATTTAATTTGTCACCTGGTATAGCAAATATAAAAAAGAATTGGTCGATACATTTAACAAATAATTTTACCTTAAATAACAATTACAATCTATATCTGTTACGTCGTAATGTCGATACACAGATGGTCTTACCCTCTTTCTTCTGCCAGCTGATTATTGTTCCTGTTTCCATAGTGGGAGACAATGCTGGAAGCGGGACCTTGATATGATCGGGATAATCGGCGTAAAACCTGAGCTGTTGCTGCCATGGAGTCGAGACGAAACGCAAAGCATTGTGAAGCTGAAGTCTGAAGTATCGAGAAAATCAATATAATTATTGATCACATTGTCACGTTTCTGCATGCGTAATGAATAATGATTATATAAGCTTTTCGACTATCCTGGCGAGAGATTAAAACTCGAACTATCACGCTTTAAGAACGTGATCCGTCTGTGTCACAGTGACCACGTTGGAATTGACGTGAAATAACCTTAAAAATCGTCCCCGTCGCGAAACTCGAAAGATCTGCGAAAGGATTCGAGCGCGAGGATGATCCCGGGTAGCGGATGTGGTACCTCTGTTGATGTTTTCTGTGAAGACATCGGACGACTATGGGTCTGGTGCTGGTTCGCACCGAACCACGGACGATCGCGCGTGCCAGTCCATTACGTAGGCTCGACGTAGTACGTATCATATCTGTCGGGATTCACACACGACGGTCTGGAGCCCTCGACGAAGTGCAAAACGAATCTAAAACGAGTCTACGCGCCCGACGAGGTGACGATCCCAGAAACGGTTCGTCGATATCCGACGTATACCTATCGTGAAACGAGACCAGATGACGGACGATGTTAAATGCCGAACTGAGAGGTCGTCGACAAGGTCACGTGGTTTTTCCGTCACCAGAGGTGCTGCTCATGCAGCGAAGATGATTGAAAACGAAAAGCCGGAATCAGCGAAATTAACAGATCAAGATGCTGTTTTCCCGTTGTTTTAATCTTTTTTTTCCCCTTTTGCTCCACCGGCTGGTTGGATTATAGCGCCTTCAACCTTTTCGGTTATATAGCGCATCCATTGTTTTAATCGTCGATAGTTAGGCTAGTTAAGCACGGACCAATACGAGAGAACGAAATCACGAACGAATAGATGGACCGTGAATCTTGTTTCGTGATAGGAATTCGAACTGCTCGAATATAAATTATATACAAAATGTCTAAGAAAAAATGTCACTAAATTAATGTTTTTAAAATTGACAAAAATTTATACACATTTTTTCTATTTATTCATCAATAAATTCTTTTAAAATAAATTAAATTATTACTATAAAAATTGTTTTTCCTTCCTTTTATAATTTATATAGATTGAGAGATTGATAAGGCTAATCCACAGATGCATCCCAGATTTTAAAAAGAATTCAGTCGTATAATATAAATGTTATAAATTCGCTGAGTTAATTTTCAAATGTAAAAAGAATTAGAGCTTTTTTTAGAAGTTTAGAAAACGAATTCTTTTTGCACTTGAAAATAAATTTAGATTGATGACTGAATATATGAATGAATTCTTTTTGAACTCTCTGTACCTACTATCTGCAGGCGAACTCCGCCTGATAAAAAGTTTTGTATATTATATTACATAAAAAAATCTTTTTAAAAAAAGAAAAAATATACACCAAATACATGAAAAATATCACATATCATTTTTTTCTAAAATCAAAAACAATTTTTTAAAAAATGATTTAAATATACAAATATTTAAAAATTAAATGATCAAAAAGAGACATAAAATCAATAAAATTAGCCAAATATCTCATTACTAAAAAAAACCTCAAAAAAGTTTATTTGTAAAAAACATTCAAAAAATTTAATAATGGATATATAATATTATAGTAATAGTAGTGTTAGTCAAAAATTATACAGTGTATCTATATAAAAGTATACATTCAGCAAAAGTTTAATATATCCAAAGTACACAACAAACGTTTAAATTTATATATTTAAAAATATATGTAACAACAGTTTAACGTATCCAAAAGTATATGCTGCAAAAGTTTTAACGCATTTATTGTTATTTTACATAAAAATTCTAAGTCACATAAATCGTACTAAAAAAATGATTAAAGTGATCAACACTGCACAGGATTATACTGAAGCAAAAATTTGGCGTACCCGGATTGCATTAATTGCATTTCTGTAACAAACAATATGTAAATTTATATGGAAATAATGCAATATAATAATATTTAGATATACATATATAATCAGATATTGGGATTTTTTAGATTTTTTAGAAAGCGATTATTAATATTTTCTAGCTAGCTTTTTAATTTTTTGTATAACTATATTTTATAGAATTTTTTAAAAATGAATATTTTCAAAAATTTTAAAAAAATTTTTTAAATATAATTATTCTAAAAAAATACTATTAACGTAAATGAATACAGATAATTTTACTGTAAAACTTTTGTATAAAACATTTTTTGACAGCTTGAATGGTTTTCGAGATATAAAAAAAAATTAAAATTAAAAATTAAGTTTAAGTTTAAAGGGTAATTTCAAAATTTTTATTGCGTTTTTCCATTGCAACTGATATTTTGTAAATTCATCTGTTTACGTAATCTATGTGCACAAAATTTCATTAAAATCATAACTTGACACTTTTGTTATA